AGCAATATCTTAGAGGTCCATGATATGACCTTAGTTGTGAAATCTTCGAATCATTCCAAGACTCACCTTACTTCACTATGCCACAAGTGAGACATGGTTAGGAGTTCTTAGTGAGCATAGTTGAAGTACTTGCTGTGTTTTCATCCATCTTTAAGTCCCAACGACGATCCATGAAGATTATGCTGCATGTATCAACCCGACCAAGCCGTGACACATCAACGAAGTCAACACCAAGATATATTATGTCTACATTTACATCAGCAAAGCATTAGGAGATTGAAGTCATGCAAGCCGATCCCAGACAACCTTGCCGACCTCTATACGATGTCACTGCCGAAGTCAACCTTCCAGAAGCTTGTCCGATGAATTGGTATGCCTAAACTATCATATACAATGTTTGTAGTTCTCATTTGGAAGTTATGTCAAACTCAGGGGGAGCATCCAGAGGTATACTCACTTTATCTTAATGTACTCTTTTTCCCTATGATTAGGAGCATTTTTCCCACTGGGTTTTTGCTACCTCACTAGGTTTTAACGAGGCACCCATCCTGGGCTGATCATACCTTTGTGAACTATTCTACTTGCGTCCAAAAGACGTATAGTTTTGAAATAATGCAACTTCTCACTTTTCTCCTTAGACTATGGGTTTTTCTCCCACCTTGGGTTTTACCATAGCGAGGTTTTGTGAGTTTTACTTTTTATGCATTCTTCCGTTGATATGAGACTCGCATTCGCTCATTTTGCCGACGACTTCATCAACTATACTTACTTCATCACTGAAGACCTAATGCGTCATTTACTTGAGTATTTACACACTCAAGAGAGAGTATTGCAGTCCTATTAGATTAGGAATGTGATTGTGTAAATCCTCGTATATCTTGGAATATCTCTTATATTCCTATTAGAAGTTGATTACCTATTAAATGTTGCAATTGTAAAGGGAAAGGTTTTTACCTATCCTACTACTATAAATAAAGGCACAATGGGGTGGAATAACAGACACCCACAATTACACATCTCTCTCTTTCTCTCTATCTACGCCGCACCCCTCTCTTTCTCTAGCCTCCATAATTGTTCAGTAAATTATGCCTACAACAGGTTTTTTATTTTTTATTTTTTGAGTTGAAACGATAGTGGTTTATTTAGATAGAAATAATGTCAAACAGGATCAATGAGGGCCTCCACAATCAAGTTAGGAGGCTCCTCAAACCAAAAAAAAATATCAAAGGTAGAAGAAATAGCCAACTTGGCCATACAATGAACCGCAACATTAGTGGCACGACGAACATAGCAAACCTGTGAATCCACAAAGCCCCGCAGGCTAATTCAAATGTCTTCCACTAATAAATCCATGTGTGAAGATCCCTAGTTATGGCTTCCAATAGCTTGAACAACCTGCAAAGAATCATTCTTGTTAGATTAAATATAGAAATATGGAGAATAATCCGAATAATGACTTTGAGGTACGACTTGAATCATTTCCTTAAAGTGTTATTTGCCCCCACTCGAATGAGTTTGCTAAAGGGTTCTTGGCAAATCACTTCCAGGATACAACAAAGTATGAAATATTCGATTAGCAAAACCGAATTATATTCCCTTAGAAATAACTAGAAAGAAATTGTATGAATGTGATGAAGAGAGAAAAGAGAGCAAAGAAATTATGTAGACAACAAATTTCTGAATGATTCTTTTCTACTAATGTTACCACTATATATAGAGAGAATTACACCCTTTAGACACATCCTTTTATTTGAGTATGTCTTTTCACCATGGGATACAACACATTGCATCATTATGTCCAATGGACATATCTAATACAAACACCAATTACCCAAAGATCATATATGTTGTAAAACATGCAGCAACCGTTGGGTATTAGCAAAAGGTTACAATGCTAATTTGAAAAGATATAATTGTTGGGTCAATGACCCAACTTCCCGTCAAACATCCCCATATATATATATATATATATATATATATATATATATATATATATACATATATTATTATATATATATATTTTAAAATATTCAACAATTCTCTACAATAATTCGTGGCAAGTTCAGTTGTATAGCCCAATAAACACCTTCACGGACAACAATTAGCTCCACCATGGTGGAATTCTATGCAGGGAGTATTTGACGAACAAAACCTCCAGCATAGCTACTGGCTTCATCGCGAAATACCACACCTACACCTCCCAGATTCGAATCAGCAAGGAAAGAGCCATCCACATTGTTTTTCACCCACCCAGACGAAGGGGGACACCAGCAAGACAGAGCCTACAACGGATGAGAACTAGTCACAGGTTTAATCTTGACGAACTCAGCAAGTTGAAGCTTAGATAGGTGGCTAACCGAAGTTGGGTTTACAACTTGACCATCCTAGGGCAAAGAGTTCCTAGCACGCCAAATAGCATGAATGAACATTAACAATAAAGCTAACTGATATGTAGATAAATGCTCCACACATGAAGACATCCAATCACACAAAGAAGACTGAGTCGGAGACCTTGAACCCAAATTTAAATGGGAGAAGAAAAACACCGCTGCAGCAAATGGCCTTGAACCGAAACCTGATAAGGTATGTTTTACCGAAATTTAATATTTATTAAATATATAATATATTAGTGCATATAATATTAGTGTTATTTTTTTGTTGTAACTTATTATTTCATTCTGGGTTGTAAGTTTGTAACCTATTATTTTGGTTTTTTGTTGTAACTTTTTAATTTCGCTAGTTGCCTTGTGTTTCAAGTTTCTGTTGGGATATATGACTCAAATAGGATGATGGAAAAATAAAAAATAAAAAAAAATTTATTGAACAAATGATATTATCTTATAATATGATATTATCTTATAATAAAAGGTGAGGGAGTGGGCTAAGCCTTACAATGAGCTAGCAATAGTATGGTTCAAATTTGTCTTTGACAATAATTGAACCAAAGTCCTATCACTTACAAGTGAAGATGAATATTGTTTGGTGTCCTATTTGGGTTTGGATTTGACTTCTTGGTTAGATTCCTTGATTGGTGGAGATATTTTGTTAATTACCTATTTCATTAGGATTTAGATTAGGAATCCCATTGTAACTTAAGTCCTATGCACTATAAATAGGACCATAGCGTTTAGTTTATTTTGTGTGCCAACACCATTAATTTTGAGAGTTTTCTCTACTTGGGTTTTGGGTGGGGATCACCGAATAGCCCATGAGTGTGGCAAATTCATGGTTCATCCGTTTAGCAATTTGGTGAGAGTCAATTTGTGAGTTTGTGAGTTAGAGATCAATTTTGGGAGAATCTTCTCCGTTTGTTTCTTATTTTTAAAATTGGAACAACTAGTGTCAAGCAATGGTTATCCACCCCTTCCAGGGGCCGGGATCTTCCGTTTATTTTGGGTTCTCTATAGTGGGATTTGAGTTGTGATAGTTAAACACTCTTTTGTAATATCTGTTTGTTTAGTGAAATTCCTCACCGTGCTTCGTCCGTGGACGTAGGCTTTTATGCTGAACCATATAAATCTCTTGTGTTATTTTGAGATTGTTTTGTTAGCTTTCGCCTATGACATTGATATTTCGTACTTTGTTAGAATTCGCTTCTGTTTGCACATAAAAGAACAACAGTTTAAACTTGAACTTAACTTATGTATTATTTCTTTTAAATTTTGATGTTATTTAAAAATTTGTAATCCAAATTCAAACCTTCAAACTCACATAAATTTAACACCAAAATTTGGCACTCACTTAAACATGGGCTAAAATTGAGAGAGCTAAAAAATTAGGCTTGACAAACAAAGCCTATCCAACTTTTCAGTTTATCAAACCAAACCACCACCAATCCAATTTTTCGGTTTACCAAAAATTTAAGTAGTTCGATTTGATTTTCAGTTAATCGAATTTTTAGTCTGGTTATACTGTTGGAACTAAATTCACGCATATCCAGGGATAGAGGCGGAACCCAGTCGGAATTGCCCATGATCTCCAGCGAGGGGAGAATGGGGTTGATTGGAGAATATGGTTGAATCTAGATTGGATTGCCTACATATCTCCAAGAAGGAGAATCAAAACACTAGTATAGTTTTAAGAAGAATTGTGTGATGCATTCCATCCTGAACCATTCTTGACAAATAGCCTATGGCTGGACGTTAAGGAGACGAGTTCTCCATAAACGTGTCTATGCATAGATGGCGGCTTGTATACAAGATGAGCCTCTGTTAGGCATAGAGTATTTATAGAGACATTGAGAGTTCTTGTAGGGAAAAGTAATCATAATTAAATTGAGAGACTATTTAGGGGTAATCTAGGATAAGATATTAAATCCTCATAGGATTATGTTGCCTAATTCCCAAGATATCCTAATTTGACTTGAATTAGGATTTCCTTACTTAGGAGACAAATAATATCTTCAATGGGCGCCTAGCTTGTCGAACTAAGGTTGTCGAGTTACGCTTCATGAGCTATGGGGTTCTAATTGTTTTTTTGCCACCTAAGATGTCACGTCTTATAGTCCTAGAAAATCACTATCCGACAGTTACCAAACCGAAAGCTACTATAAATATGGTTGTGAGTGACAAAACTGATTTGGATTGAAGATCGGTATTAGAATGTATCTTCTCTTATATGATAATCTTGGAAACCACCTTGTCTTCAGAGGACAATATAAAATTAATTAAAAAAGTATTATATTATAAATTAAATTGTAGAATACAACAACATAGAAATTGAAGGCAATTAAAATTCTATGACCTGGATCTTGAACGAGGCTTGCATATTGCAATGCCTTTGGACATAAAATTTCTCCTGCACGTGTGATATTAGTTCTTCATCTATTTGCCAATATTCAGCAATCTTATTGAAAATCTTAGTCCTTGCACTTTAAATTCTAGCGAATTATGTGACTCTAGTCTTTCATAGCATCTCTAACGAGCTTCCTGAATGAGCTTCTAGTTAAAACTAGTGCGTAATACCCGCGCGTTGCCGGGGGAATTTGGAAAAGAGTTAACTGGAAAAGGAGGATTACATTCAGTTACAAAACATAGAAATTCCTGGTACAAAGATACAAAAAACATTATAATAACTGAATTTCTTATAATAACCCCATCTAATATACTTTGTGTTCCAGCTTTTGCATACAAAAAATGAGGAGATGCTGTTGTATGGGGATGCAAAAAATATTGTTGAGTTTTGGGCAAAAAAAGATATGTACAGGTTTTTAAACATGTTAAACATGATTTAATATACATAAACAAAACAGGGTAAACATTCTTGATCGGAGTAGTGAAAGGTGTCTTCAGCCCTTGTTGTCATTGATAAAGCAGCCTGGACAAAGAGGAATAGAACATAACATATTTAGATAGGATTTAGTATCACATTTAAATGGTAATCGAGGAAAAGATAAAACAACTTGAAAGCATACTAACCTAATCATTGTTTCCAGTGCTGTTGTGTGGCTTTGCTTGAGCAGGAGATGGTTTTTTTTTTTAATAACTTGATGGGAACCTCATCACATTCTCTTGGATCAACTTCTGAAATTTCTTCAGATTCAATGATTTGAATGATTATGCAACATTAATATAGTTGTTCACAGAAAGAAGAAAAGATGATTCCTAATTATAATTCATAGTATTGAAAATGTTTGATATGTAAATTTTAAGAAAGTTGAAGTGAACACACGGAAATTTTTTGAAACATGATGTAAAAATATAAACATCATATTTGAGAATAGTATGAAATTAGATATCAAACCTTTGTTCACCAGGAATGAAAAGCGCTCTTCTCACATATTCTCTTTTTCGTTTATAAGATTGATCACTTGGTTCAGGTGTTGAGGTCGAAGAGGATACAATGGTGGAACACACTGTCAACTCCTTTGATAACGTTTGCAGAGTGATTGGTTCGATGCTTGTATCTTCGGATACATTGTGAATGAGCACATCGATTGAGTTGAAGTTATTTCTCCTATTTCCAAACCGCAAGTGGAAGATTTTCTTTTGACCAATCAATCTTAAGAATTCGTTTGGCAGTTGTTGTTGGTCAACTAACATTTTATTCATAACCAAATCTTTGCATGCCATACCAAAGAGCTTTTCACCAGATTTCCCAATTATTAAAGCACTGATTTCATTAGTAGCATCTTTAAGAATCAAACTGACTTTATACCTGTTATTAAAAGTCAAGGTACTTAACTTTTATTGGTGGTATAATTCATACTTAACTTTTATTGGTGGTATAATTCATTATTAACACACATAATTAAAATGTTGTACCAAAACAGATTACAAATGAGAAGTAATGATGATTGTATTAAAGGCATGTAGAACCAAATCTAATGAAAGACCTTAAAAAAAAAAAACAGAGATTTATGTATTAAATCTTACCAAGGTGTTGGAATCTGGTTTGGGTGCTTTTGGCAAGTGAGTTGGCCAGTTGTTGGATCCTTGTGCATTTGCTTTACACAATTGGGGCAAGCATTGTACCACCAATTGTAACCTGTGTCAAAACGTTTAACAGAAGCTTTGCACACAAATGTATCACCCTGTAAATTGTTCAGCATATAATTGTGTGAGGAAGAGTAATGATACATTGAACGTTTGTTAAATATGGAGATATACAATTACATATCTTAAGGAAAGATGAAAACGCATAATGTGTTTCTATACCTTATGCAGATCAAGATCAAGAAAAGCTAGTTCATCGATTGTAACTCTCCTTGTTGTCCGTAGAACCTCAGCTTCATTGAGTTGACTTGAAGAGGGGGCAGGGTTTTTACAGGGTCTTTTGAGTTTGAAAACCTGTAAGTTTTAAAACATAATAGGGTATGAAGAATTTTGGATAATTTGTGGTTTTTTGGATGGAGAGAAAAATTATAGATCAACAAATGCACTCACATTGATTTGTATGAATTAAGTTCTGGTATATCTGGATCAATGAAAAAAAGCGAGTAGGCAGTACTGTTCAACACAATGTTCTCTGTGAAATGGCAAAAATAATAAAATTTTATCAAATAGGTATAAGTAAATATAATAGATGAGTAAGTATCATTAGTTGGATAAGGTATGTTTAAAAACTATATACACATTGTAACAAAGATATTTAAAAGGGTTTAAAGTATATAACTTACGTAGGTAAGGTCTGACTTTTAGACTTGTAAACACAATGACAATGGGTAAAGACGAAGCTTGAAGTGATAAAGAAGAAAACCTTTCTGCAACCTCTGCCCACAATGTGATAGATAACTCTTCTTTCCTGCATATAAAGCAAATAAGAAACAAACGTTAGATTTTTTTTGTAAGCCGTACAAAACAATTAATTGAATTATGTAGAATTGGTGTGATGAGAACGGAAGGACAACCTGATATTTTCAATGCGCACATCACACTTTTGTACTATTCTTTGATTAATCTGTTTTGGTTCCAAGTGTTGTATCGCAGTTAGATGCCCAATGACATCTTTCAATTTAAAATGCGAAGACAGAGAGTTAGCAAAAATTTCTTTTGGAAAACAAATAGAAAAGAAAAAAAATTACAAATATTTTCAATTGATGTATAAATGCACAAATAAATAGATAGGTACAGATATTGATACTGTAACATTACCTGTGAGAATATCAACCTTGTCCAAATGGGGATACAGAGAATTACAATCTTGGAGAAAGAACCAATGTCGAGGTATGGGTGAAAAGACGTTAGACAGTTTTTTAAAAACTGTTGTGTCAGTGAGAATGATCTGAGTTTCATGTGGAACAACCTTGTAATGGCCCCTGATTTTAATTGTTCTGAAATTCATAATTTCATAACTACTACCGGCCTCAATTTTTGAAGCTATAACTTCGTAATCAATATCTTTTGTAGAGGCTTCAACCGCATGGTTCTTTGTAGTTGATTAAAGAGAGAGAGAAAAAAAACCAAAAAGGAAAAAAAAGAGTTAAAAATATACTAAACAAACAAATCACACAAAATATTATATTTTGATATAGATAGATTTAAAGGAAAATTAATGAAAATGGCTTAAAAACTTTGAGTTTTAATGATAAGGACAAAATAAAGGGTAAAGTGAATAGTACCAGGATTGACTTTTTAGTGTAAAAATATGGTTTTTCGTTAAAGTGAACAGGTGCTTTTCGTTAAAATTCCCTAGATTTAATTGTACCCACAAACATACTCACTGGAAAAACTTAAATCATTCAAATAAAAAACATTGGATCGTTGTTCAAAAAAGTATAAAAAACACAAAAAATATAACAATTTAAACAAAAATAAAGTAATAAATGATAAAAAAAAATATATCATTATAATATGGAATAAAAAAATAACAGTTTAACCACTCACCATCTCGTCAACCAAGATACAATGCAGGTTGACATGTTTTTGAATAGTGCCGGGAACATTTGATTTCCATATTCTGCACACACGGACCTTTATTTTTTCCATTTTTGTATATGGACGCAGTTGGACAATAGGGGTTACTTCCGCAAGATCCATTTAATCTACCAAAAGTGAAGAGAAATTTGATAAAAATGCTTCCATTCTTTACTTGACACTAAATTCAAATAGAAAGTCACAAATCCTCAACAAATGAATAATACACGAAATGAAAAAGCTGGAAAAATTGCAATACTCAATTTATAAAAATATCATGAAATCCAAAATAAAAATGAATTTTTACTCTGGAATCCAGGCAAAACTCGGATCAGATTCTAAATGGGTTTATCAAAAATAATAATTTAATGCAAAATTAACACTGAAAGTAAATCAAAAACACAAAAAAAAATTGAAATTTTCGTACCTCAAGTTTTTGGGAGGGTAGGAGTACCAGAGGGGTTTAGGTGGAAGCAAAGGACTGGCAAGAGCGATTCAAAAACGAAAGAAAATGACTAGCAAGAGTGGGAGAAGCAAACAAAGACAACGAAGAAAGAAAACGACAACCAAAAGCAGGAGAAGCAAAGAAAAACAACAAAGAAAAAGAAAGAAGCAGAAAAAGCAAAGGAAAATTTGAGGAAAGAAAGAGATAAAAATGAAAGAAAAAGAGAGAAATCCTCTCAGCAGAAAGTTCCCGAATGATCAACATGTGGAAGACAGAAAGCAGAGCAAAACAAAAAAATAAAATAACCAAAGGCAACTTAGGCAAGGCGGAAGACAGCGGGGCTTCTTACAATTTTTAAGCTTTGTTTTTCATGCATTCAAAATTTTTTATAATTTTTTATTGTGTTATGTGCCACAAACCTAGATTAACTAATTTTTTTTTAAATATTTGTTGTCAGTTTTGTTATCATCATTTTATCTTTCTTTGTGCCCACACTCTGCAAGAGACTTTGCATGCAAATTTTTTTATAATATTTTATTGTGTTGTGTGTCATAAACAGTATTCCATGCCACCTACTGAGATGTGCCGATTAACTCATTTTTTTTTTTAAATATTTGTTGTCAGTTTTGTCATCATCATTTTATCTTTTTTTGTGCCTACACTCTACAGGAGACTTTGCATTCAAATTTTTTTTATAATATTTTATTGTCTTGTGTGCCACAAACAGTGTTCCATGCGAGCTACTGCAAGAGACTCGGCGTGGAATGGGGACAGGTGGGCTTCTCACAATTTTTAATAATTATTTTGTCCATGCATTCAATGTTTTTAGAATTTTTTATTGTGTTGAGCGCCACAAACCATGTGGCCTGAGTTAAGTCATATTTTTAAAATAATTTCTTGTCAGTTTTTTAATTAATTATTTTATGTTTCTTTGGGCCATAACTCGAGGATCATAGACACGTAACCTGGGAGGGAAAAGGATGATCAACATGTGGCAATCATGGGCAATACAGGTATTTTACTGTGTGAAGCAGGCAGCAAGAAGGTAGTGGAATGAAAAAATCAGGGGCATTTCCGCCCTTTTACTATTGATGAACAGTGCCGGATTCAACTGGCTTTTAGTATATATAATTTAGAGAGGATTTAGAAAAAAATTCATCTCCAATCACACTCCTTATCCACCTCTTAAAATAGGGATTTTACTGGAGCTAAATCTAGAAAATAAAAATGAGTTCCTAAGACTCCTACCATTAACTAATGGAAAAATTCATCTCCAATCACACTACGTATCCAGTGCCTTCTTCCCTTCACGTGATGGACTTACATAGGAAAATTGTTGCCCTTTCATATATTAAAAATTAAATTATAACAAAAAAGTTAAAATATTAATTCCGAATACAAATTTAAATTGTGGGTTCTTAAGGCCTAAGGCCCTTGTCAAGATCATTTAATACATGCTACAAGCCCAACGAAAAGTCCATAGTTAAGTCCATTCACAAGACCCCAATCCTATCTACTCAGCCTCAAAAGTCCATCCCTATGACATGGTTAAAGTTCGTAAATTTTTTCTTAGTGTCAAAGTTTGTGAATTAGTTTTAACGATTTTCCACTTTATCAATGTAGTTTCAATTTTTAAAATTTTCCCTTTAAACTTGTAGTGTGCTATGTGCTGTGCAAGTGCGAGAGCACCTCAAAGTTCGTGCGATGGAACTTATAGCAGCAGTTAGGGCAACAATTTGCAAGGGAATTGAGTTTCCACAATGCGATTTTGGAAACTGATGGGATGGGTGTGGCAGACAGATTGAACTCACAGGGAGAATTTTTTGAGGCTGATGGAAACTTGCTGCTTGAGATTAAGGAACTGTCTACATGGTTTCTTTTTGCATGTATTTGGCAATGTCGAACTACCAATATGGTGGCTCATGAGCTTGTCCAATTTGCTTTAAATTCTGTTGGTTTTGTTTCTTGGTACTGGTTAAGTCCTCTCCTATCTGATATAAGAGAAGTTTATTTCCAATGAAGTTCTGTTTTCATAAAATAAAAAATAAAAAAAAACTTGTAGTTTGCTTACTTTTTCAATGCATGTCCTAATCACCAACCTTTTTAGAACTGTAGAGGGAGATCTGAAAGCTTCTCAGTGAAGTCCATGTATAGGGACAATCACTATATAAAATGAGTGTAAAATAAATATAACTATAAAATAAATTTTTAATGAATCAGAAAGTGAGTCTCTAAAGTGTAGGGACTCGCCGGATACTTAGCGTATGTACCAACATATAAAGACTCTATAGGGACTGAAATTGTGGACCTAATATGATAATTTAAGTGGAAAAGCAGGCTTGGGTCCTAGTCATATGACCTTTTTTTTTCTTTTCAACCATTTAAAATGGAGGATCCAGATTAATTCTTGCTTTTCAAATTTTTTTACCATTGAAAGATCAACAGTTCCAATTAAATAACCATTTCATTTTAGGTTACTTTTTCATGTTGGTTTTCAAATTCTTTTTTTTTTTTCTCTTTTCATATTGCCTCCGTTGACAAATTAACACTTTCAATTAATTGGGTTACTCTCTCATGTTGTTCTCTCATCATTGCTATAAATACCAAATTATCTAACTAAAAGTTACCATAACTTCATCTCCTATACTTAGTTCCCTCATACTCAATTCACTCATTCTAGTTACATTTTTGTGAAGAAAAAAATTGGCGTCAGAATTTGAATTTTTTTTTATTAAAATCTTCACAAAAATATTTTATGAGAACGTAGTGTTGAATTAATTCAAAAAATGTGCACCTAATCAAACTATCACATAAAATTGTAAAAACCTTAAATTTAAAGATTCTATTATAAGGACTCTCCCATTTGAGGCAATATTCCTTTAGGAACACAAAGATTCTCTTTAAGTCTTTAAATAAGTACTCAAAAGTGGTAGTGGGAGTCCCTAAATTGAGACTCCCATTAGAGATGCTCTGATGCTTTAACACGAGGATGTGTTTCGTGCATAGGTATATCGACACTAGTCCGCTTACTGTTTAACTTCCATGTTCGTTCGAAAGAATTGGAAAAAAATTGGTGATTTAGTGCGCGCAAATTAGAAATTTAGGAAATGTCATATATCTAAAAAAACCGTTTTGTGCATGGATTCCTAGAAGAATTGGAAAAAAAAAAAGGTCATTTTGTGTGCGCAAATTAGAAATTTAGGAAATGTTGTACATCTAAAAAAA